AGATCCATTCAAATTGCGAGACACACAAATTTATTGAAAAATGGAATAGTAACAAATAGGGTTTTTGATTTACTTTTCAAAAAACCTTTAAAAAACTATATGGTGCAAAATTTTTCATGATATATGAAATCCTTATACGGTAACAAGTATGTGTATACTTATAGTGTATATTTTAGAAAGTTCTGCTAAAAATCAAAGTGTTTGTTGATTTTTTATTAGGATATTTTTTATAAACTTCTAGTATCACATATTTAGCAGCCAGAGAAGGGCTAGCAATTCTTTCTGCTTTAAATCCATCAAGTAAAATTTTTACCCTTTAAACAAAACCATAAATTTTTGGTGTGATATTTAAAATAATCCAATTATCAGATATACTAATATTGTACTTCTTTTTCTAACTACATAGCTGTGTGAGCTAGATTTGTTCCTTCATATTCTTCAACTAATTAACATTACAACAGACAGAATATATGACAAGAATTCATGTCTTCTATTTAGTCAGCCATCAGTAATTTGAAAACTGTAAGTGAAGCAAAACATTTCATTATGTATAAAGTATATATTTTTGATTCTGATTTTCATAAGCTTGAGATTTATATTAACATGTAAAAGGTTATTCTGATTTTGCAGTTATAAAGAAAAAAGTACAAAAAAGGTCTCAGTTTTAACTTCTAGGACAGCAAATATTGCTAGTCACAGACCACATGAGCAGAATTTATTTGGAATCTTCACTAATTTTTGAAAATAGTTGAGATCAAAAAGATTTTAGCAGCCACATGAGAACATTCTGTTTACTATCTCCAAAGTGGGAGAAAACTATGAACCTAAAAATTGTTTTATTGCTTAAGTGACATTTTAAAAATTTAATTAATTCAGTGGTTTTAGTCTTTGTGCTGTTTGTTGATTCTACATGTAGACCCCCGAATTTGTTTGTCAATAATGACTAAACAAATGTTAATACAGTAATGTTGAAATAGCTTCAGGCAAAATCAAATAAAAGAGATGTCTAAGAGAATTTTCTGATTTATTCAGGCTCTTAAAAATAATAGAACTTTTTGTTGGGCATCATTCTGTGTTGATTTAGACTATCATGACAGCAAGTAAGTAAGATCAAACGGACATCTGATTTTTAGATTTTGTTAGCTGACTAGCTACATCACATAATCAACTATTATTCAAAGAAAAATGGTCACAATATGGAAGAATTTATTAAAAATGACATTACCAGGAAAAAAATCACATAGAGAATAAAATATGGTATTAGAGTAATACTTTAATTTTCATAGGTTAACAAAATCATACTGCCTCTCAGACTCATATAATGAAGACCCTGAGTAAGACAAATTCTATTTATTTATATTTTTAGGGTGTATATATGTATGTGGTATGTATCCCACCTGTGTTTGGTAATGCAGGTCCATGCACATGTGTGGCATGTGTATAGGTCTTGGAAATTGATGTCAGATGTCTTTGATGGATTTTCAACTTACATGGAGATAGAAATGCTCACTTGAACCCAGAGCTAACTGATTCAGCTAGTCTAGTCTGTCAGCCACTGTGGATGCTTGCGCCTGTTTTCTGTATGCTGGGATTAGAGGTGGGCTCCCACACCCTTCAGGTTTTTATGTGCTGGCTCTAATGATCGCAAGAAAAGCACTTTACCCAATGAGCCATCTCTCTAGCTTGACTAGTGTAAATAATTTTGCTCAAATAACATGAACATAAAAGAGGTCCTAATTCTGCATTTTGTTTGAATATAAGATTAGGTACTAATATAGTAAAGTAATATGGCTTTCATGAAAGCATTTCAATTATATTCTCTTAAACAACTTCATAAATTTTATTCAGCTATATATAAAATTATCCTCTAAATTTTATAGCACAATGGAATACATTACTAGAGTCTACTTTACAAGGCAATGTAAAATTCAGATACTTGGAAAAGAAAAAGATAACAAAATCAGTCTTTAAAATAATTCTCTTGTGAAAACATTGAATTTTCCCTATCTTTTAGTCTTGTCATTATTTTCTACTCCCCCATTTTGGTTTCTTGCTGTTCATCATAACTGAAAATGAGCACTGAGCTAAGTTGTAAATCATATTCATTTAAGAAGAGAAGGTCTCTGTTATAGACATTCTTTTATCAAATCCTTTTTGGAAGAACATCATCATGGTATAGCTTGAGTGCGCTATTTCACACATTTCTTTAAAGTCAACTTACCATTTTCATTTCTTTGACATATGCACTATTTTATTTAGGGGTAATAAAAGACAAAAAACCCAATTTTGTTCTTAAATATTTCTGCATTGCCACAAAGCAAAAGGAGTGGCATTCATTCCAGTAAGAATTCATTATAAGAAAATATCTGATACAAAAGAAAATACTGCACTGATGAAAAATATTAAATTATTCCACCAAATAAATATTTACTGGAGAGAATTATGTGAAGGACAATGGTTATATTTTAATATTTGAATGTCGTCATTGCACCATGAAGAGTGAACAACAACTGTAACAAAACCAAAACAGTATATTTTACACAGAGAATTTGTCCTTATAGATGGAAGAATCCTAAAGGATCAAAACTAAATCAAAGATATAATATGCAACACACACACACACACACACGCAATGTTAAATGTTTGATACTGCCATTACCTAGAGAAATGAGTCTTTATTATGTAAATGGACAGAGTGTCATCTTAAATATTATTCACTATTAAAACTTGCAGAAACAAAAAACTAAAACTGTACATAATAAAATTATTAGGTTTGATTTATTGTCATTTTTTATTTAATTTTTGAGATGGTATTGCTATATAGCCTAGGTTGGTCCTGAATTCAAAGTCATCCCGTCATACTCTCTTTAGTATGCATTACAAATGTGTGCTACCATGGCTTTCTTGTTTATCCAGTGCTAGTGGTGGACCTCAAGGTTTTGAACATCTTAGTCAAATATTATACTATTGAGCTATATCAAAAATCTTTCATTTATGTTTCCACAATCATTTGAATGCATCAAAAGATAATTCTCCAAATATTTTACACTCCTGTTGATGAACCATAACATTTAATTGTACTTTATTATAATTTATAGTAGCCTATTTGCTTTTAAAGGCAGTAATTACTGTCTATTAGCTCATTATTCCTTTCTTACAACTAGGAAACTATGTCTCAAAACAGACACAAGACTCAGAAAACATTAAGCATCTTGTTTAATGTAGTGAGGCTTTTAAGGAGAAAAGTAAGCACTGGAATCCACACCTATTGCCAGGGTCAAGAGCTCTTTCTAAAGCTGATCATTCAAGCCTGCATGGTATTTCTGATACAAAGAAACCTCATTTGCACATATATTTCTGTATATGACACATTTCATGCTTAATCTGAAACAGATGATTTCTATGGAGTTGACTAATATGCACTATTTTATAAACATTACAACCAAAGGCAGTAAACACAGGAATGGCAAATTAAAAATGTACTTTCAGTTCTACAAAGAACAACACTCTGCTTACTTCACAAATACCTCTTATTGAACATATTGAAATCAAAATGTAATATCATTCCTCAAAAAATCCTTGAAAATTAGTTATTTTTCTTTTATATACTAATACTGTTAAAATAACATCAACCCTTTATTTTTAGTTAGAAACTTGAAAAACATTTTTTTCATCTTCCTTTCTGTCCTAAATTTAATGATGCAGAATTAAGATAAATACTTCATTCAGAACTTCATTTGGTTAAGTGTCAAAGTCTATCTATGGTCTTGAAATTTAACTCAGGGATGAACAGCATGGGTATAGAGAAGACAGGCTTTAAAAATTAACATATTTGAAATCAGATGCTAAACACCGATTAAGAAAACTTGCATAATAATGAAAACATTTAAAGTTTTTCTTCTTTGAAGCCTTATAACCTCAATTTTTAATGATAACATTATTTGTTACTTATATTGACTCCTATCTAAATACAATGATATGCAAATGTAACAGTAACATCATGAAGATTTTCCTAAGAGTATACCCTGTCATAAACTTTAAAACAAAGTACATTATAACATCAATAATTGAGAGACAGTTCCTAGTCAAATGAAATTATAACTCACAAAACTAATAGAAAAGTCATAATTGAGGGAGAAAGCTATACTTGCTTTTAAATCTGGTGATAAAAAGGCCCGATTGAAAAACAATCAGATTCTTAGGACAAATTTAGTATATAGCTTGATATCTAACACAGTATCTCATTAAATAAGAAAGTAATCTCTGATAACTATGTTTCTTCACAAATGGAACTTGAAGGAACAGGTGAGTGGCTTTTCCAGAGGAGATATTCCAGAGGTTGACGTAATAGTATTCAAGCTTGCTCAGCACTTTATCTTACACACAAAATATGAGGTGGTAAACAGTGTCTAATCTTGCCTCCACCACAATTCAGAGACAGATTGTAAAAAATAAAAACTTTGAAACAACTATCCCTCTCCCAAAGGTTGGCATTAAAACTTTCTTTCTAACAAATTTAGTTTTGTTTCCAAATAATAGGCAGCAATATTCCAAGTAGAGTCTGTTTGAAAAATTTTTCAGAATGATATTAGAGCAGGTAGGTATGCAAGCCTGAAGTTTGAAAGAAAAAAAAATCCCATTTGTCATAGTATTTTGTTAATATTGCTGATTATTGACTAAAAATACATTCATCCTCAGAATAATTTAATTTTACACCCACATTGCTAAGTTTCCTAAAAAAAAAAATATAGGTCTACCACAAAGAAACATAAATTATAGAACATGGCATTTTTACCCATGATGTAGGAGCAGGCATATTGTATGAAATGTCTACTATACTAATAAGATAATCTATGAAATAATAGGTGGTAGCTATCATATAGTCCATACATTTTTACTACTATTTTGCATGCAATCCAACCTTGACAAGCAGGGGAATATTTGTTAGTTTTCTCAGAATTTATACTAGAGAAAGATAAGATGCAAGGATCTGCACTTACTTTTGGTGTTGGACAAGAAGCTGTAGAGAGGCGGGATGTAGCCTGAGCACGGGGCGATTCTGAAGGAGTAGTGCTGAGGGAGGCTGTGTCTCGTGGGAGCACCTGAACACCACGAGAAATGATGGAATCTGGAATCTAAACAAGAATGACTATAGTTTAACATTATGAAAAGGCCATAGTACATAAAATTAGCACACATCTTTCTTGTTTTTGATTTTTGTCATTCTTTGCTGATGAGCACTCATACAGTCAGTGTCACTTATATATAAGCACATGTAATATTTGATTCAGACATTTATAGATTTACAGTTTTTTATGACAGATAATATATTACAGAACACTTTAGTAACAAGCAGTCCAGCACTGTGGTTAGAAGGAAATATATGTTACTCAATAACTGGCTTTGTCATTTAATAGTTTGAATTCCTGAACAAGATACTCCTACATCTTAAAATTTCATTTTCCAACAGTTCATCCTCTGTGCTTCTAACTGGCCTTTCTGGACATCATCAACTAGCTATTTTGTGCTCCTTGACTTCCAGGTGGGTTCTTCTAGATGTCAGGGCCAGGCATGAGACAAGGATTAGAGGAGAATAAGGTTTGGCATTTATTCCTCTCAGTTCATCAGAGGTTAGATGTATCTTTCAACTACAGACCATAGTTCTGCTCAAACATATATAGCTCTTTCTCTGTATAGCAATAGAGTTCCTGGAATTGTCAGGATCCCTTTCGTCAAAATTCAACTAGTAACATTAAGGGTTTTTTGCTCATTAATTCCACAAAAATTCACAATGCCTTCCTGATTTCTCTAAATTCAGTCCAAATATGTTTGCCCTTACTAAAACTCTCAATTACTTATTTAGTGTGTTCTGTCACGTCTGCTAGGACCCTGATGAATAGACCATTTCCAGCAACATTTTCTTTATCTAAAAAAATGAGGATATTTATAGCATCTCGCTTCTTGGATTATTTTGATGTTTAAGCAAGAAAATGTACACAAATAGCTTAGCAGTTTGAAATAGTAAATATTTAATAAATGTTGGTTATTAGGTAATATCTATGAATATGGTGAAGACAGATAAGACTATTCTAAAAAACAAAATGAAAAATAATGTAAATATAAATATTTGTTATCAAATTTATTACTTTAAACTATGAATAATTTAGTTATCTTGTGCTAGAATATTAGAGACAGATTACCAGTTTAATAGGAACTTGAGGCTTTAAATATCTAGAAATACTTTCTACCTGGGATCTTGAGAGACCACCAGGCTGGGAGTCAGATAGGCAATTTTCACTATCCTTCCTGCCCTTCATTATGGTCTCTCTAGAAGCAGTTGGCATTCAGATGGCCTTCCTCTCACCACACCTCAGCACCCTGGGCACTCCTGTCTCTTAGTGGGGACAATTCTCCCTTCTAGCCTTTCCCTTGTGTCAGCTGCTGATACCTAGAAACATTCTCTCTCAGGGACATGCAGTGCCTATACCTGCCTGGGACTCAGGCAGGCACTATGTACTATTCCTCCTGTCTCCGTCACAGTCTCTCCATCTTAATCATGTAGCAGCAGCATTCTTGCAGGCGCCCTTCCTCCCACCTCAACACCATTCACTCCAACTCTTGGTACAAATCCAGAATCTACGCAGTCCTTTCATTCCTGTCTCTTCAGACACATCCTTTGTCCTACTGCAACCTATTTTTAGGAGCATCTCCTCTCCACCTCTAACTCCTTGGGACATCTGGCCTCTCAGTGTAGACAGGAACTCCTTAGCTCTTTCCCAAAGTCCCTCTCAGACTTGTCTCTTAGCACACCTCTATTCCTCTGCTACCCACCAACTTGCAGATACGCTCTATACCAGGGACCACATAATCAATATGCATGTCAGATCTTGAAAAAACAATACAACCACAGAACAAAACACCCACTCAATAAAGTCAAAAGCAAATATTAGCATCTTGAAATACCCTAAACATCATATTCCAGATTTCTAGACACTAGGACAAAAATGCACCGAACAGATAAGGCAATGAGCTTTGACCAGAAACCAGTAACCCTACTCCAGTAGGCCCTTAGATACGCAATATTGCTAAAGCATAAGACAATGATTTCAAATTAGTAAATATGAGTATGGTCAAGGACCTTTAAGAAGAGACAAATAAATCCCTTAGAGAAGTCTGTGAAAATACAAACAGTGGAATAAAATAATAAAACAGTTTAAGATTAGTAATAGAATCACTAATGAAATCATAACCTTAAGTAATAGGGATAAGAAAAATTTATGAAGTCAAACAAAAACTCAGAGGTACACCTTACCAACAGAATCCTAAGACATGGAATCTCAGCAAATGAAGACAAGGTATAAAAAATGAAATACATCAGTAAAAGAAAACATTAAATCTAAAAACATTCAGGCATAAAACATCCAGGAAATCCGGGATACCATGAAAACAACAAATCTAAGGATAATAAAAATAGAACATAAAGAAACCATGTTAAAGGCACAGGAAATACTTTCAACAAAAACCAAATAAGAAAATTTTCCTAAACTAATGAAGGAGATGCCTATTAAGATACAAGAAACACACAGAACAGCAAATAAACAGGACCAGGAAAGAAATTCCCCATGACTACTACTACTATTACTACTACGACCACCACCACCACCACCACCACCACCAACAACAGAACAAAGAAAGAATAGAAAAGGCTAAAAGGGGGAAAAGGCCCAAAGATCAAGGAACGCAAAGGCAGGTTCAACAGGATACCATCTGATTTCTTCATGGAGAATCTGAAAACTAGAAAGGGCTGGACAGATGTTCTTCAAACTCAGAGATCACAGATTCTAGCCCAGAGATTCCAACCTAACAAAATTATCCACATTAGATAAAAATGCTCTAAAATAAAACCAAAATTAAGCAGTATCTATCTACCACACCATTTCTAAAAAAGTGTTAGAAAACTCCAATCTGAAAATGTTAACCATACAAGGAACAGATAATCCCAGGTCAGTAAATCAAAAGATGGAAGGGAGCCCCATACCATAATAACAAAGTAACAGGACTCTCAACATCATCACACTCAATTCCATAATAAAAAAGACACAGACCAATAGAATGGATCTGGATGTGAAACAGGATTTATACCTCTCCTGCTTTTGGTAAAGTAGAAAAGTGGAAAGCTGTAGGATCAACATATGAATCAAGTAAATGCCTGCACAGCAACAGAGAAGCCAAGAAACAACCACCTTCTCAACAGGTACAAACAACAAAAGCATCAGATAAAAGGAAGAGATCAAATGAAAAAATCAGGCATCAATCTAATTAAAGATATGAAAGACTTCTGCAAAGTAATTTAAAGATCCCCCATATACATGGACCAGTGGGATCAATTTTAAAGTGGTTATATTACTAGAAGCGAACTTAAGTAAAATCTCCATCAAAATTCTTATAACATTCTTCCTAAAAATTGAAAAAAAATCAGAAGTTTAGATAGAAACAAAAAATATTCAGAATAGTTAAAGCAACCTTGAACTTGTAATGTTTTTGTAAAAGCATCAAAATATTTGACTCATTATTATAAAGTCATAGTCATGAAACAATATGGCACTCTCAAAAACAGAACACAGACCAAAGGAAGAGCAAAAGCCACCTGATTCTCCACAAGGATGGCAAAAACACACTGGAGAAAAGGCATCCTCTTTAACAAGTAGTGGCTATAAAGCAGGATGACCAGAAACATAAGGTGAAACTAGATTTCTGTCTCACCTTGTACAAAACCGAAAACAAGATGTGTGGAGATCTTAAGGTAATAACTGACACTGTGGAATTCCTAGAAAAAAGTTTCAAGATATAAACAGAGAATGGAGGGCTGGAGAGATGGCTCAGTGGTTAAGTGCATAGGCTATTCTTCCAGAGGTCCTGAGTTCAATTTCCAGCACCCACATGCTGGCTCATAAACATCTGTAATGAGACCTGGCGCCCTCTTTTGGCCTGCAAGTGTACATGCAGACAGAACAGTATATATAATAATAATAAAAAAAACCCATAGAGAATGGCTTTCTGAATAAGACAATTCAGGAAATAAGAGCAATAATTAGCAAGTGATATTGCATCAAATAAAAAGCTGTTTCATAGCAATGAAAACAATAATAAGAATGAAAAGAAAACTTACAGAACAGAATTTTGCCAGCTACTTACTTGTTAATGGATTAATTAATATACAGTATACAGAACAAAAAATAAAACATTAAAGAAATAAATAAAAAGTAAAGGCAAAATGAACACTTTTCAAATAAAGAGTACAGATGACCAACAAAATTTGAAAATATGCTCAATGCCTTTACTCATCAGAGACAAAACTATGAGATTTTATCCCACTACAGTTAGAATGATACCAGAGAGAAAATTAACAGAAACCACATAAGAATGTGATATTAACAATGAAAGAAACCCTTATACACTGCTCTTGGAAATATATATTAGTCCAAATAACTGCAAAAATTTCTCAAAAACAAAAAATATAACTATTATATGATCAAGCTATGTAACTCTGGCTCACTACCCAAAAGAATCAGAAATATCTGTATTGCAAACACTCTTGTTTCTGTGTTAAGCATGACAGTGTTCACAAAAGCCATTTTCTGGGTGCCCATCAATAGATGTATAGACAAATGAGGTTTACACATACAGACATATACAACACACACACACACACACACACACACACACACTTGTGTGTGTGTCAAATTTTGTTAAGACACAGAGCCCATTAAGTGATTTGCAAGAAAATGGATGGAACCTCAGATTACTGTATTAAGCAAATTGATTAAGAGTGAAAAAAAATAAAACAAACATCATGGTTTTTCTCATTTGTAGAATTTAAGACAGAAATGTGAAAGGTAGACCCAAAGGGGTAGCAAAGGGTTGGATAAGAGAGGCAGGTGGGGTGAATATTATTAAAGTACATCATCTATATTCTTGAAAATGTCTCTAATCCTAAGAGTTTCATAGGTACCATACACTAAAAGCAAAAGAAAATGAAACATAAAAAACCATACTTTTTGACTAACTCCTTTTCATTGTCTAGGCTAGGTTCCAACAGTAGCACTTCCTCTTTAATCCATACTACTTTATCAAAATTATATGGAAGTTATTCCCCCATAACACCAGTTTCCTTGATAGCCTCCACATGTATTTAGTTTTGTGTACATGTATCGTAAGATTCATGAGGAGAGCATAGAGGCTTCATCATTGTTCTGAACTATTTAATATAAATTGCATTTTATCCTCTTGACAGGTTTATCACCAAAGTATGTAACTTCAGGGAACCCTACTTAATAGACTTTAGCAATTAAAAGGAATAATTTTAATCTTATCTCTGTTTTATTTTTACTATTTTTAAATCTTATCTTAATGAGGCCAATACATTACTGGATACTGATGAATTTTTTTTTTTTGTTAGAGATAGCACCTTTATTTCAATTAGTTTTAAGACAAAAAGAACTTACCTCATAAAACTGAGAGGTAGCTGTAGTTTAAAAGAATGAGTTGGAGTGGTAAAAACAATGTGTGGAGAACCTGAAATCTTTATTTCTTAATTTAATTTTTATAATTTATTTCATTATGGCAGAACTTGTTTTTATAGTTCCGAGATGGCACTTCTTAGGATGCATATTTCTTCATTCCAATTTATATTTAAACAGAATTTGTGGTTCAGTGCTTCAAATAAAGTCGGAGTTGAGAACTAAAGTTCTGATGGGCTTGAATTATGTGACCAGAAGTAATAACTGTGGTTAAATAAAATTAAAATGGTGGTTATATTAAGCCAACTTACTCAAACTATGTGATGTGGATGTATGTAGTGTAGTATTAGGAAGAAGAAGTAGGAAATCCCTGCTCAGCAGTTAGTAAAAAATTTTGGGCAATAAGTAACAATCAGATAACTGGTAACTGCTGAAATGTCAGTGCATTCATTGATCAAGTTTCTGTTTTGGAAGTTAAGTAGAACAAAATTACTTGGGAAAGTAAAGTAGTAATAATAACTGAAACTCTGCATAGTTTTAAATTCTATATGGCCTAGAACAATCTATTTGCATTTGCACTAAGAAGCACCAAGAATATTAAAGGTACTTTATATACTGCTACCATTTTCTTCTTTCTTCACTCTTTCCTATAGAGGCTCAGTATAAAGAATAAAAGCATTAGATGCTTTGATAAAGGACTCATCATTTACCAAAAGGAATAAAAAGTTTAACTGAAAAACAAATATCTGTTAAAGTGACAAAATGATTAATACTTCTACTCCTTATGAAGGAATATTAAATCCTAGTCAATAAATAAGGTTCCTGGATCCTACAATGAAGACTTCCACTCATATCATTTTGGAGCTATTTTCTCCTCTAGAAAATTAGGTCACTATAATTTATAGCCATTGTATGTGTTAAGTACCTTCTTTCATATGCACCTAAAATGATGGTAGTAAAAACTCACAAGAACTAAAGATAATGTTATTCAAATAATTCTTAAGAGAGTGCATTTTATTATCTTTTCATGATTTTTCACTTTATTTATGTTTGTATATGTAGATATGTGTACATAAGTTCAAGTGTCCACAGGGGCCAGAAGACTTGGATCCACCTGGAGCTGGAATAAGAGCTGTTGTGAGCTACCTAACATCGGTGTTGGGACTCAAACTCATGTTCTCTTGAACATGCCCTTAACTGCTTATCCATTTCTACAGCCCTCAAATCATTTTTGAGGATCTAATCTGATATTATTAGACTATGGTAACCTATAATCTTGGTTATGAATGAAGGATCTTGCAATGACTTTATTTTAAAAGCTCAGGATGTTTGCTATAATTGCTATTATAACATTATAAGTTATGAATACAAAAAGAAACCCTTCAAATTTGGCACTGCTAAAAACATTCAGTAATATTTATACTAATCACAATTTAAATTTGCTATGTGTCTTTTGACTCACCAAATTTTATTTTCAACCAAATATATGTATGAAATAAAAGTCTTAAGTTATACATTTGATAGTGTTATCTTCCAAAAGACAATTATATACATATATGCAATTCATAAGTACATAAAGTCAAATTCACTCAATGAATTAGTTTTCATCTTCTGTCTTTGCTCCCTTTTATTTCAGATGCCTAGAATGAAATAAAATAGATTTTTAAAAATTTTCTACCCATGGTCTCAATTATTGCTATTAAATGATTTAAATTTAAGAATATTAATTTTAAGTCCAATTTTCTTTGCTAGTTTTGAATGAAAAAAGTAGTTATGTATCCTTAGGTGCCTGTTTCTAAAAATTAATCATCATGGAAGTTGCAGATTGAGCTCTCAGAGGTTGCAATGAGAACACAGTGAAGAAAAACAAAATGAGATGCAAGTTCACGAAAATAAAAGGCTATCACAAATTAAATATTAGTTTGATTACACTTTCTAGGTGTTAAAACACAATGCAATCATCCTATGACGCTTTCTAATTAAGCTAGGTAACTTAGTTAAAAGTATTCAGTAAAACAGCAAAACAACCAATAAAACCCTCCAGACTTCTTGAGCAATGAAAGTTTTGAAAGTCATATGATGAAAGTTCACTGTTGAACATAACAGAGTTTTAATGATTGCAGAGAAATTTAGGCAAAAGGATATACTAAATTCTTTAATGTGGTATGCTCAATAAACATGAAGATCTTTTACAATAAAATAACTCATCTTTCATGTTATAGCCCACCTCCAAACAAAGGAAGTATTATAAATATTTGCAAAATTATTATTCAAAACTCATTGTCTTACCCGTTTATCTGTACTGCCTGTTGCATCATAGGAATAACTGATGATACCAGGGATGGGCTGTCCATGATGTGCCATGAAAACAGCAGGATTGGTGTACAATGGATGCTTCTAACATATAACATATAACAATTATGAATACAGTGAGAGAAAAAGCATGAAACTACATAAGCAAAATGACTAAACGAAAAAAGTGAACACAATGGAACAATGAAATGCCATTTTTTTTAAAACTCAAAGTGACAAAATCAGCTTTGATTTTGTATGCTGTATTTTCTTTTATAAACAAAATTGATGTTGTAAAAAACATCAATTAATTAACAACAATTAAAAGGGCTTATCCTTTTAATTAAAGGTAAAAAGAAAGAACATAAAATAATTTTAAAATGAACCTATTCTAATAATTGGTTCAACTACAAAAAATCCAACATTAGTCTAAACAGTATGGTAAGGATTTAATGGATTACTGAAAGGTCTACAGAAAGAATCTGGCAGTGTTCAATGAAGGAACAACATATTAATTATCTAATGGACACGAGAAGGATTTCTATGTGATTCTAATCTTTTTATTTTAATAAATAATTCAGAACTAAGCCATAGGAAAAGTCCTTATAGACTAGAAAACTGTTATTGGCAGCATTTACTAACATATCTAATAAAGTAGTACCAAGAAAATATGTAAGGCTGAAAAAGATGATTTTATTAAATATTTTCAGATCTTGACTTTATCAAAGTTACCACAGCACTATAAGTACTGTATATTGTATATAACTGTAGAAAACCTGTAATACCCTAAATGGTAGCAAAACAATAACAAAATAATCATTCTCTTACATTGTTTCTTTAAAACAAGAACAAATACTTTTTAAAAATTAAAACAGATTTTTTCCCCCTATGGTCAGATTCAAAATATCTATGTGATCTACAAATTATTTCATATAGCAATTAAAATTTTAATCTATGTAATTATTAACCATTGAATGATTATCATTACTAAAAGTGATATGCTATTTTCTAAAGAAATTAAAACAGAGTAGCTTTTAAAAGCTAGGCATAAATAATAATATAAATTATGTTAATTATGCTGAACATGTGGCATTAAGTTCATTCATATTTACTCAGCTCATAGTATTACATTGATTTCTAGGCCCTTATGAAGAAAATCTGTAAACTTATCCTAATATTTCAATTACTTTATTACGTTAAAAGGAAAATATATTAATTTCTTCTCCATACCACTAAGATAAATTGTGTTTGACAATAATTGAATAAATATTTAGTTGGGGAAAATTCAAAAGCCTCTTCAAAGATTTGTCTTTAAAATTTATTTTGTGGTAATGTGATCCTCTTGCCCCTGGATTAGTGGAGGTTTCCTATACCTCCACACCAGACAAAATTTTTAAAATACTCTTTTCCAACTAATTTCAAGAGTCATCTGAGGTCTTTTAATTTTGTTTTCTGTTTCTTTAAAAATATGTGGAGTTTTGATGTCCTAAATATATAATCATTGTATATTTAATAATATGGCAACTTTAAAGAGTTCCTTAAATCACACTGTTTATCACTATAGCTATAACTTCATTAGGTAGTTGGCGTATCATTAGTGCCTTAGAACACTAACTTCAATGCTTACACAGAATCTGTATCAGGACAGAAACACATTGACAAAATTTAATGGATATTCCAGCAACATTTTTAGGATGTGCTGAAAAGCATTAAACTTATGGAAGGATGAAATGGAAAGAGGGATGAAATCAGTAGTTTCCCCATGGGTATTTCAGAACTCTGTCTCTCTCAGCAGACCTACCTTTGCAGCAATGGCTGCTGCAGTTATATGTGACGAGGAACTATCTTCTGTTGAAGCTACACCACTGTCTTTCTTTTCCTCTTCCTCTTCTTCACACTGAACCCCTTTATCTTCTGTCTGTTTATGGGGGCTAGTTGTAGGAGGTGGAGAAAGAGGAGGTGGTGGGGAAGGTAAATCTTCAAGTTCATCATGCACCTCCTTTACTTTTACAATGGCATCACGTAAAAGGTCAATGGCATGAGGTAGAGCTGGCAGTATGAACTGAAAGCATTCCTGCCCACAAAGACAAAAAAAAGAAATAAAAGCCAGGCTTTTAAATAGACAAATAAAATGGTAGCAATCAAATTGATTATAATTTTGGACTTGTATTTCTACCCATCTCAAGAATGAGTCATATTTGACACATCTTTTTAATGTAAAATATGAAGCAATCACATCATATAACACTTTCCATATGTTAGAGGTTATGGCCGTTAGATGAGTCCTTACATGAATGCATACTATGCTTTTAAAGTACAATTTTGATACAACTATGGATTTATGTGCTTTATATATAAAGGATATGAAAGGCAAGAGAATTTTCAAACTGCTTGCTAGTGCAAGACTTGGGTTTAACAAGTCACATTAAGGACCAGATTTTTTTGTTGTTCATATTGGAAATTCTACAATTATGACATACACCAGTACAGTTATGACAAAAGCACTATGCAATAAACAAAAATAAGATAAAATTGTTAAAGTTGTGAACAGAATTCAATCTAATATTTTCTTCACATGCCATTAATATCTATAATGCATCCCCAAAAGACAACAGGCAATGACTTATAATTAGAATACAGAGCTGTCTGAGGAATAGATGGAAGTCTTTCTCTTTCACATTAAAGCAACACCTTAATAAAGTCTAAAAGGTGAAGAAATATCTTAAAACAAGAATGGAACATTAATGGCATACTTGAAGAATACCTAATTTTTGACTTTCTTTATAGGTCTCAATTGCTTACTGTTTAAGCAGTATATTAAAGAACATATCCTTGACAAAACAGAGGTTTGGTATTTTCCTTCAGCTTCTAGGAGGCTATATCCAGACATTAGAATGTCAGGCTTGATAAAAATGTCTTTATTTGCTGGGATCTTTGACTACTAGTTAACCTGCAAACTATGCATACCAAAGGCTCAGGTTGGCACTCTTCATCGGCAATGTTCTGCATCTATACTGTCATGTGTCTAGGACAGGATGGTAACACACGCATGGTCCCAAGAGAGAATAAACAATGAAAGCTCTTTGTTGGCTAGGTACTTCTATGTTTTGCCTTATGCACTTTTCCTTTCTTAATTTTAATCACATCACCTTCCTGTGTTAACAATAACTTTAAGACCCTTAAATAAGTTCTGTGAATCCTATTGAATTACTATGTAGTTTTAGAAATCACATCAAGTTTAAGTTGTCATTAGTGAAGCTTATCTTTTGGAATGCTTCAACTTTGCTGGTGGCCAAAGAAGATGAAAACAAATAATTTATATGTTTGAAATACATGATGTCCCTAAGACCTGTGATTTCTCAGCACAACTTATACGTCTATACTATATCTCAGCTATAATTACACATTTACTTTTCTAACTCAGGAGCAGTGCTCAATGTCGTATAGCTATATGTTCAGGGAAAAGCTATGAAAAACTGATCTATTGAAGACATAGATGTATGGGGTGTTTTGAAGTCATTCTGGGAATTTAAGCGTGTGTACTAAAGTAATATATGTCACTGTCCATCCAAAGAACTTTCTCCTAGGATTAAAAATTGCCTGGAATCACATCCAATTGGATGCTCAAATTGGTCACATGGGTCCAAAAGGTAAGTGGACACTACATGGCTACCACAAAGCAAGATGTGGCAAGTTAAGATATATTCATTCATCTTGCACCCTCTGAGACATAAAATGTCAACAATATTGTTGTATCTGCCAAAAAATAAGTCAGAAACCATAGGAAGGCATAGGAAATATTCTGAGGAGGGAAAGTTTTACATATAACTATCAAAATAAAATTGATGCTGCTAACTCCTGACGATACAAATAGGTTTTACCATTTCCATCTTTGAAAAATGACATTGGCACTTCAAATTTTTGTTTTCTCACTGGGTGGTGGAGGTGGTGATGAGTGTCCCATCACATTCAATAGAGGAGGGCAGATGAACAAGGAAGGTTCCTACTAATTGGGTTTCTTCACTTTTTTAGGAAAAGGGCACTTGGACAAAGACACCCACATGTAAATATTCTTTCTTACAAATGTACCCTTTCACCCATGACACCTAAACTTTTCCCTCCGAATCTGACACAGTGGTCACAGTAAAACTACAACTGTGGGTAGCAGAATAGGGCATGATTTCTAAACAAGAAGATGTTAAATATGTATTTAAATTTTTTTTGTCAGAATTCCTGATGTTTGCTTTTGCCCTTATCACATCTGGATAAGTTAGATTTGACAAAGGATAATACTATATTGCCTAATTGGAAAGACAGTCCACTAGCTCTTTATCTGTGTGACCATATAATATGAATAGGAATGGACAGAGTGGGAGATACTATGAGGCAACTAACCAATGGCCTGTAAGCCCTATGTGGTTGAGGACAGCTATATGATAGCTATATATGTAGCTAAATACAAAGCCAAAACGACATGAAAATTTTTTTTAAGTGATTGTGTGGTCTTCTACTTGAATTTTGTAGATGACAATGTTCAGCTACAAAATAAAAGGTTAAACCAAAACTACTAATGATAATGTGAATCAGCATAGTGGTTAAACTTTATGTTTTCAAAGATGTAGCACACTCAAAATAAGTAGGTAATGCTTTATAACACAAGCATAATGAATATCTGACTTTGTTTTAATTCACTGTCTTTGAACTTTATTTTTTTTAGCTGTACAATTCCTACATTAGATATGTGGTGTGGAAGGTCCTTCTGTCTATGTGTTGCTTTTATTGGTTAATGAATAAAGAAATTGCTTTGAGCCTATAGCAGAGTTATAGGGGAACAGAGCTAGGCGGGGAAAACTGGACAGAATGCTGAGAAAAGGAAGGTCAGAGAGGGAGATGCCATGGAGCTCTGGCCAGAGTCAGACATGCCGAAACTTTGCTGGTAAGCCACTGCTATGTGGCGACACACAGATTAATAGAAATGGCTTAAATTAATAAGCAAAAGTTAGCCAATAAGAAGCTAGAGTAAATGGGCCAAGCAGTGTTTTATTTATATAGTTTCTGTGTGATTATTTTGGGTCTGGGTTATCTAGGTGGCAGGAAAGAACAGGTGGCCCATCCCCCAAAATATATATTGCAATATTAGGATTGTTATTACTACAGGAGTATTAATATTCTTGGTCAAATGTATTTGGAAAGTGAATTAAAGCCACCTTAAAGTGTAATACCAACAGAAAATGATTGGCTAGCAAACAACTGGAAATTGTTTCATCTAATTTCTGTTATACAGTACTGTATGAATGTATCACATTATACAAAGAAGAGATCAAGGAGGGAAATAAGTAAATTACAATTAAAATATGGAAATACACATGTGTTTAAAGCCATAAATTTAACAATATTTCATGTTGCTGCTTGCAAGTCAGGCATATTCTCACTGATAATATTGATGTGTTCACTAATATAAATGATAAAGTGAACACAATTATGAGCAATGTTAATTGGTAAAAAGCCTTAGCCAAAGTCAGAAACATACCATTCCATAGTGCAGAATTAATTATCACACAGAAAGAGTCTAGCCTTGCCTTTAGCTATTAGAAAAGGGACTTCTAGGATCCAAGACAGCAATGACAGAATATTCTTTTTTGTCAGACAACTTGGGCAATGAGATCTCCTAACAATGTACTTTACAATGCAGGTTTGGACCTACTTTGATATTGCTTTGCCTCGAAAAGATGTTGAAAACTAAAGGGATAAGGACTAAAATTCAGCTATGTGTACACTATATGACGAGCTAGAATGAATAAACCAACAGGAAAACAACAAACACAACAGCGCAAATGAGGTTCTGATTGGCAATATTCCATGTAGATCATCGCAGTCCCAGAAAAGTAACAAATTCATGAATACACAGGAAGAAGCCAATGGGCGCTCTGCATCAGGTATGTTCACTGAACTCTGATGCACTTCTCTTGGCTCATTTTAATCTGTATTCTTTCCTTCTGTAAACAATGACTGTAAGTATATGAAGTGTTCAGTAAGTTCTCTGGTTCTTCCTAATGAAATACATAATTTGAGGGGGCTTTTTGGGACTCTCTTGATTAGTTTCAGCAGTAAGCAGCTTTTTTGGTGTGTACAGCTTATTGCTTGTCTACTCTCAGAGTTGGTTGGTTAAGAGTTCATTCATTAAACCATAGAACATAAAAAGTGCTTACCTGAGATCCTTTCTTGCTACCAGGTAGGTTAATTATCAGAGTTTTCCCCCTTATTCCACACACTGGTCTGAAAAGAAAGAGAAAGGGGATTGAATAATGAATTGCAACAAATATTCAACAAAGGACAATCAGATTGCTTTATATGAGAACATGTATTATAGGAAAAAGTGTTATAGTAGAAGATTACAATTGTTATACAAATTGGACATTCTGAGTAGTATTTTTATAATAGTGGTTAGTACAGTGGATTAAAAAGAAGACTGAACATGGAATCAGAATAAACTAGTTATTTTAAAGGAATGTGACACTTAAAATGCTGATTTTGTTTAATTTTAGCTTTTCAAACTGCAGTTGTTGAAAGACAAAGTGCATTAAAATGTCTAACATAGTAATAGTGATGTTAAAAAGACTAAATTGGCATTCAAGAGCTGAGTGAGGTTTAGATTTGTGCTTTAACTTTTCAAAAAGTGTAGAAAGTGTAAGTAAAACAGATTTTCACATATGAATTTCTGTGGGGGAAAAAGCAACAGGGCTTAGTTATAAACTGAATCATTGATAGGTACAGATGTTTTAACATAGAAAGTTCTTTGGGAGTATCTTGCATATTTCTTTTTAAAAAATGTATTTTTGATATTATAATTTAATTATATACCTCTTCTTCCCTTTTCTTCCTTTTTGCCCTTACCCAGATACACTCCCCACTCTTCTTCAAGTTCATGGTCCCTGTTTTCACTGAACTTCAATTCCAAGTTTAAACAGACTGGCTAGAAACAAAACATAAACGTAGAAGGTACTAGAAAATCGAGTCAAGAATGGAAGGCCCGGGTTATCTTTCTCTTTTCGAAGTTTTCTTTAAAATTGTTCTCTGACAATTTCATATATTTATGGAGTATATTTTATATGTATTATAAGAATTAGAATTCTGGGACATTAAGTTGGGGCAGTACCAAGCCCCTCTCCCCTGCATTAAGGTTGGGCATGGCATCCCATTAAAAGGAATGGGCTCCTACAAGCTAGCTCATGTACCAGGATCCTGGTTTTACTACCAGGGGCTTCTCAGATAGTCCAAGTTTGAAAACTGTCTCCCACATACAGAGGGCCTAGTTACGTCCCATGGAGGATCCACAGTTGTTGATGTAGAGTTCATGATTTTCCACAAGCTTAGTTGAGCTGTCTCTGTAGATTTCTCCATCATGATCTTGACCTCCCTTGCTCATTTAATGTGCCAGACTTTGTTGATACCCTACTAGAGCCCTTGCCTGTTGGGGGAAGTGGATGGGTAGTGGGATGGTGGGGGAGGTGGAGGAGCGAGAGGAGTGGTAGGAAGAAAACCTGTGGTAGGAATGTAAAATGAAATTAAAAATATCTCACTATCTGGCTGCATTTTGATAAGGTCACATTTTATTTTTATCTTTGAAAATGAAATTATGCTACTTGAAATCATTTATAAACAAGATTTTTTTGTCATGTAAGACTATTTTAGACACTGTTTTTTAAAAGAATAATCTACAACTGTCATATATTTTAAAATCAACTTAAAGTAGGTTTATAATATAAACAAAAGTAAGTCCCATATAATATATTACACAAAAATTGATTTGATATTTTTTGTTTACATTCTGATGTTTATTTTCCAGAATCTAATCAGTATCCTTTATTTTCCATTTAGATATTCAACTTTGATTTCTATCCTGTTTTCACTTTCTTAAATTTGACAGAGGGGGATTTGTAGATTTGTGGATCTCTGTGAGTTTGAGGCCAGGCAGGTTTTATGTGAGTTCCAGAAGTGTTACACAGAGAAACCCTGTCTTGAGAAACAAAACTAAACAAAAACCAACCAAAATAAATAGAAAACTCAAAAGACTTGCAAGTAGAACACATCAAGCACATAATATTTGATTGCAAAGATACAGATTTTAAGAGTATCTAGACTAAATAAGCAAGGAATAAGACAAATTCAAAACGAAAAGGAATACATAGGAAATGTGACACCACAGGACAAATAAAACAAACCTTTTACTTATAGGTATAGATGAGAATAATACCAAGCCATTGGCATAGATCAGATCTTCAACAAGATCATAGAAGAAAATTTCCTCAACCTTAAAGCCGACACACCCATATAAATACAAGAAGCACACAGAACACAAAATAGACAAGACTGGAAAGTCCCAATGACATATTATAGCTAAAACAAAAAATATATAACAAAGAAGTGTGCTGAAAGCTTTAGGAGAAAATAATGCAAGACACATATAAAGAAAAACCCAAAAGAATAAGAGCTGATTTTTCAATGGAAACTTTGAAAGCCAGAAGAATCTGGAGTAGTGCACTCTAAGTGTTAAAGGACAGTGATAACAAGGTTAAAATTCAGTATCCAGCACAACTATCTGGCATGACATAAACAGTCTAAAATAATTTATATTCAACACACCAAACCTAAGGAAAATACAAGAAGCATTATTTTGTATTGAAGAGATGAATGAGCATAGTAGAGAGAGACTGTGAAAACAAATACAAAATCATAATTTTTAAAATACAAAACATACTGAGAACAAAGACAACACTACTAAAAATAAATAACATGATGACCTGACCGCCCTCTCTCTCTCTCTCTCTCTCTCTCTCTCTCTCTCTCTCTCTCACACACACACACACACACACACACACACACACACACTTTAATAATAACTTTAAATATCAATGGGCTCAATTCTCCAATCAAAAGATAGACTTACTGGACAGATCAAGAAACAAAATGCACCTATCTGTTACCTATAAGAAACACATTGTAGTTATAAGGATAACGACCACCTTAGTGTAAAAGGATGAACAAAAGTACTGTAATCAAATGGGATCAGAAAGCAAACAGGCAATGCTATCTGAATATCTGACAAAATAGACTTTAAACTAAAACTAATCAGAGGAGTGATACTTCATTCCAGGTAAGGGAACAATTAATGAAATGTCATTATTATCCCAAACATATATGCACCAAACTCTGGAATGCCCAATTTCACAAAAAAATATACTACTGGAATTAAAGACACAGATTAATATTAGTCCATAAGTAATAGGCAATTTCAACACTCTACTTTCTCCGACAGACAATCTAGACAAAAAGTAAATAGAAAAAACATCATAATTAATTGATATCATACAGCAAATGGTCTTAACATATATCTACAGGCGATCTTCCCTACTCTCTATGTTCCCTCTAGCAACACCCCCACACAACTAAAGACCCCAGCATAGAAACATAATCAACAACAGTCAGGGTAATATGTCACCACCAGAACCCAGCTATCCTATGATATTGGTATATTATTTGAGTTTAAATAAATAAAACCTGCCTGAAGATCAGAAAGCAAAGCAGCCATACTAGTTAGCCATACAGGCCAGGCAGTGATGGCACACACCTTTAAGACCAAGACTTGGGAGACAGAGGCAGACAGATCTCTGTTAGTTCAAGGCCATGCTGGGCTATGCAAGATTGTATCTGTCTGAAAGAAACAGAACTCACACAAAGGTGATCCCAGCATTTGGGAGGTGGAGACAAGAGTAGTAACACTGGACAGAGAGAGGAGTATAATGGGGAAGAGACAGCAACTCACTGGAGTGTGGAGTGTGCTGTGTGGGATCTTCAGGATTTGTGGAGACAGGATCTCATCCATTTAAGGTCTAAAGTAGAGGTAAGAGCCAGTGGTTGGCTGTTTTGCTTTTCTGATCTTCATGTTGAACCCCAATATTTGTCTGTGGGTTTTTATTATTCATGCTACATCCTACTACAGCAAGCCCTGAAGATTCCAACACAACTGAAACACAAGAAAAAGACCTTGAAACCAACTTTATGAAGATAATAGAGGTCCTTAAAGAAGAAGGATATAAATCTCTTAAAGAAGTCATGGAAAAGACAATCAAAAATTTAGAATAAATGAGTAAATACCTTAAAGAAAGCCAAGAAAATCAAGAAAAAAACCACAAATGAATAATTAAAGGAAATGAATAAAAGTATTCAAGACTTAAAATTGGAAATAGAAGCAATAAAGAAAACACAAGGGAATTCTGGAGAAGGAAAATTTAGATAAGTGAACAGGAATACAGACACAAGCATCACCAACAGAATACAAGAGATGGATGGAACAATCTCAGGTCTCAAAGATACAACAGAAGTGGCCACACAGTTAGTGTGGCGATTTCTCAGAAAATTAGGAAACAACCTTCCTCAAGACCCAGCAATACCACTTTTGGTATATATCCAAAGGATGCTCAATTGTGCCACAAGGACATGTGCTCAACTGTGTTCATAGCAGCATTGTTTGTCAGAACTTGGAAACAATCTAAATGCCTTTTGAACGAAGACTGGATAAGGAAAATGTGGTACATTTGCACAATGGAGTACTACACAGAAGAAAGAAATGACATCTTGAATTTTGCAGGCAAATGGGTAGAGCTAGAAAACATCATTTTGAGTGAGGTAACCAAGATCCAGAAAGGCAATTATCACATTTACTCACTCATAAGTGGTTTTTAAACATAAAGCAAAGAAACCAGCCGACAAATCACAATCCCATAGAACTTAGTCAACAATGAGGACCCAAAGAGAGACATACATAGATCTAATCTACATGGGAAGTAGAAAAAGACAAGATCTCCTGAGTAAATTGGGAGCATGGGACTTTGGGAGAGGGTTGAAGGGGAGGGGAGAAGAAGGGAGGGAAGCTGAGAAAAATGTAGAACTCAATAAAAATCAATTAAAAAAAAGAAGATACAATAGAAGAATAGAAAATGTTAAATCTGAAAAATTCCTGACACAAAACTTCCAGGAAATCTGGGACATTGTCAAGAGACCAAACCTAAGGATAATAGGTAAAGAAGGAAAATAATCCTAGCTCAAAAGCCCAGAAAACGTTTTTAACAAAATTATAGAAGAAAAATTTTCTCAAACTAAAGGAAATGCCTAAAAAGATACAAGAAGCATACAGAACACCAAATAGATTGGACCAGAAAAGAAAGTGCACTCACCACATAATCAAAACACTAAACATACAGAACAAAGAAAGAATA